TTCAATCCATATCTTCAGGTGGGAGGACACAGTGTTTGGAAAGGATCATGAGGCTTAAGGATAAATCTGGGTCACTCCTGCTAGAAGCCTATATAATGGCATAGAAGAATGAAGCTTTTGCTCCCCTTCTGCTGTCTGTAGGCTTTTTAGTACATTCATTACTTCAGTGGCATTGGAGCCCACTTCTTTGGAATTCTGAGATATACTGAAATCCACCTGAGATATCCAGCATTGTGGACTGATAACTAGATTCTTGGAATTTCTGTTCACAGCTAGCCATTGTTGGATTAGCTGAACAGCAGCCTATAAATCATATAAATCCTCTGTTATGTGTGTGTGTTGGGAGATGTAATTCTATAAATATGTTTCTCTTATTGGTTAATGAACAAAGCACTGGCCAATAGAAAAGCAAGATAGGTGGGATTAGAAGACAAGGAGAATTCAGGGAGAGGTATGGAGATTCAACATGTAGGACTTGAGAGAACAGAGGTCCGCATTCCCTCTCCAGTAAGATAGGCCATATATAAACACTTAGATTAATAGAAATATGTTAATATTTAAGACATAGCTAGCCAATAAGTAAAGCTAGTAACAGACCAACAGCTTTGTATCTAATACAACATTTCTATGTGTTGTTAGGGGCTGGCGCAGCTGTAGGACCAGGCTGGTGGGAAAACTACTCAGTGTGTGTGTGTGTGTGTGTGTGTGTGTGTGTGTGTGTAAATATATACTTATATGTCATAAATATGTATATGTATTTGGAGATAGAGATTCATTCTATCAGTTCTGTTACTCTAGAGAACCCTGACTAGACACAAGGAGACACAATGTCTAGGCAAACTCCCTGATCCTCTGGCTCTTACAACCTTTATATCTCTTTCCAAAATTTTCCTTTGACTTATATTCAGTTTGAATCCATTGAGCCTGGCATCCCAAACTCTGCATTTTGATTAATTGTGGTTCATATGCAGTGGTCTCAATCTGTTGCAAAGCATTTTCTTGATGACAGGTAAAAACTACATTTATCTATGGGTACAAGGGAATGGTTTATTCTATATTTTTAGGGATTACACTGGTTTACTAAAGCGGTGGTTGTTGGTTCTCCTCCAAGATTCATGACTTATTTTGTAACCCATCTTTGTGGGGCTTCAGTTGGATCCAGCCAACTTTCCCAGTTCATAAATGAAAGGGGAAGTATAGACTGAAAAATAGCATATAAAGACACCAAGAAAAAAAAAACAGAGACACAGGATAGAGTCAAGGGGGCAATCCAGTGAATATTGGACACCTCAAGTTTATTTAGCATTCTTAAGTACCCCAACCAAAAGGGGAACATGGCAAAAGACTTCTTTATCATGTATAAGGAATAAACAGATTTTCTCCAAACATTTGGTAACCACACCTTAGACTCAATTTCCCATTATCTGGCCTTGAAGGTCAAGAGTAAACACACCTCAGACCAAATCTGTTGTTATTTAGATAAGGTATCTACCAATATCAAATATCCTACAATACCATGCCTTAGACCTTTAGGTATTATTACTTTAACATTAGAAGCCTAAGGACAGGTTTGAACTCTCTGACCTTGACTCAAGATGAAGTGGAGCCATTATTAGGGACACAAACTTCACCAGCACTGAGTAGTTAGCCAGGTTTCCAGTACCAGTCATGGTTTTTCTTTTGTTAAGAATTTCTAAAGTCCAATTAGAGAGCTGTTGGTTATCACCAAGGTATGTCTTCTACTAGTGCACTCAGGGTTATTGGGCCATGATGATCATTGGTGAGGTTCATATAAATCATAGCTGGATAAGGCTGTTCAATGGCTTCTACATTTGGAAGCCCAAATGGTACTTCTGTTACCATGAAAGGTACTTTTCCAGGAGAAGTCATCTTTGTTTTTAGACAAGAACTCTCTGTGTATTTCCCAGTTGTCCTATATTTACTACTTGGACCAGGCTGGCTGTGATCTCACAGTTTCCCTTGCCCGTGCCCCATGAGTGCTGGGATTAAAAGCTTGCATAACCTTGCAAACTATGAATAACTTTTTATTATCATTTCACAACAGCCTGGTTGATAGACTTGAGTAAACAAGTGGATCTTATTTCTACTGATATTAAAGACTTCTATTTCACTGAATTTGAGACTCAAATTGAAACAGATGTAATTTGAGATCCACATAACATGAAATTTCAACACCATGAAATAAAATGTAAACAGAAGCAGCAATGAGTAATAAAATCCCCCCAACAACTCCATGACCAGATTGACAGCATTCTATTAGAACTTCAAAGAAAAACAGCTACATAAATACTTGAAAGAAAAAGGAAGACTTCCTGACCCTTGGTATTACCTGATATTAAGCTGATACAACCAAAAGAAATGACAGACAGCTGTTCTCGTTTTAAAAATGTCTATTATATGTTCTCTCTCTCTCCCCCCTCTCTCTCTCGTGTGTGTGTGTGTGTGTGTGTGTGTGTGTGTGTGTGTGTTTGCCTCAAATGCTTTCTCACTTCCTACATCTCAATTATCCTGGTCCACATTTCCAACTAATCTTTGTTGTATTCATCTTCATTCATTTTGCTTGGGACTCATTGAGATTAACCAGGGCCATCTGTAAGACTGTGGGTTTGGAACTATGTGTTGGAGCCTGCTGGGTTCAGTAGAGGACTGCAGCTAATGGCAACGATTCTTCTCTCACAATCCACCCAGAGCCAGCTTTTGAGAGGTAAAGGATGGGGCCCTGTGAGCCTTTCCCTTTCCTAGACTGACTGTAGTCTAGTGTGAGATCAATGCAGGTAAGTACAGTTGCTGTTGATTACTGATTACAACAGCTGTATGGAATCTAGAAAATGGCATATCTTAACCCTTCCCTTTTTCCCTTATTATTCCTTTTCCTCCAATGTTCACAGAGCCATATATGGGAAGGTGTAACTGACATTTTCAGGGCTGGAACATCATGCCTTACTTATTTTCTGCATCTGAAACAGGCAAGAGTGTCTTCATTCACCTTTGCACTAAAAAATTCCAAATTGATAAAGCCTCCACCAGCCCCCCTTAACCAGCACACGGACATCTGCTCTCAGGAAGTTTTCAACAGCAACCATGTCCACCTTTGTGGAGCTCAATACCAGAGTCAAGATGTTCATTGTGGGCCTGCACACCTGGCAGACTTCCTCAGTCCAAGTCAAGGAAGCTGTGAAGGTGGCCATTGATGCTGGATATCGCCATATTGACTGCACATATGTGTATTACAATGAGCATGAAGTAGAAGATCAAAGAGAAGTCTGTGAAGCAAGATTACCTCTTCATTGCCAGCAAGTTGTGACCCACCTGCTTTTAGAGAAAACTGCTAGAGGCGGCCTTCCAGAAGACCCTCACGGACCTGAAACTGGACTATCTGGACCTCTATCTTATTCACTGTCCACAAGGACTTCAGCCCAGAAAGGAGTTATTCACCAAGATGATCAAGGCAACGTCCTCACCAGCAAAATAACGTTCTTGGATGCCTGAGAGGTCATAGTGAAAGCCATGCGCATCTCCAACTTCAACCACTTCCAGATTGAAAGGATCCTGAACAAGCATGGATTGAAACATAAGCCTACCAGGTCAAGTGTCACCCATACCTCACTCAGGAAAAATTGATCCAGTACTGTCACTTGGAGGGTATCACTGTAACAGCCTACAGCCCTTTAAGCCCCACCCCACCCCCAGATAGGACTTGGGCCAAGCCAGAAGACCCTTCACTCCTAGAGGACCCCAAGATCAAAGAGTTAGCTGCAAAGCACAAGAATACCTCAGCCCAGGTTCTGATTAGGTTCCACATCCAGAGGAATGTGGTGGTGATCCCCAAGTCTGTGACACCAACACGTATACGTGAGAAGTCTTTGACTTCCAGTTGAGTGACCAGGAGATGGCCACTATACCCAGCTTCAACAGAAACTGGAGGGCCTGCCTCTTGTCTGAGACAGTAAACATGGAAGAATATCCCTCCGATGCGGAAGCTAAATCACCTGATGAGGCTTCCCTCTTTGCTGACACACACCTCACTCATTCCTGGAGTGCCATTTGAGCAAGGCCTGCCTGACACCATGCTCTAGGCAACGCTGTACTTAAACCCTCATGCTGATCCAGGGCAGACTGTGTTCAAGGAAATATGACTCTGAGAAGTGAATGGCGAATGGGCATTTCTTTCACTGACTTTATTTGACCGAATGTTTGTCAAAAATCAGGAACTCTAGTAACACTGGAGGACATAAGGATAGAACAATAAAAATCACATTAACAAACATAAAAAAATTCTAAATTGTATCTAAAAAGCACCTTTAACATGAGTCACAAAAGAACTTGTTTCTGAATTACCAAAATGCCCAAGACCTCCATCTACTGATGAGATCAATACAATGCAGGATGAACTCAACCTTGGGTAATAGCCTGACCTCTGACTTCTTGAAACATCTATTTATTTTCAAAATCCAAGTTCCTAAAATGTCTCTCCCCAGGTCACAACTGCGGTACTTGGATTTGGCTTGTCATGTTTGTATTGGCGATAGGACTCTGGCATCTGAATTTAGCATATTTTTTTTGGTGTAAGTTGTAGTCCAGGAGGCTGGTAGTCAAGTCGAAGTTAGGCTGTTTGTCATTTACCTGAAGGCTTCAGAGCTCACTGTGGGGTCAAATACCGGGTGCAGCGTCCTCCTGGATGCAGTTCTAGTCTAGGCTGGCAGCAAAGCCTGTGGGAAGTCTGTGCAGAGTGGGTCCAGGGCAGCCTGACAGCTGGAGCTGGCTGAGAAGGTGGGAGGGACGCTTAAGTGGAGAGGAAACACTCACTAGGAAACAGTGGTTGAGAAGACATGGTCCATTGGCTGGGCATAGGGGGAAGAGTGGAGAGTGGGAGGGGTTGGGGGAGTGTGCTAAACGGAAGTCTGGGACATAATATGAGAGTAAGGAAGTTGGAGAAAAGCCAAGATCGTCAGTACCAAGTCCCCATTCTCTGTCGCTGCTCCGGGTCCTGCACGGTGTGGAATCCTCTGCTGCAGATCTGGGTGCGGAGGACATGGCGGGTACCGCGGGGACCTGAAAACTCCGGAGCCGCAGTCTCCACGCGGGGCGGCCTGGGAAAGTGACAGTCAGCAGCGCAGTGTCGGGAACCGCAGCCCGGTGGCCCAGGAACCTCCCAGGTGAGAGGAGCTGCAGGGCTGGGACCAGGAGGGAGGGGATCAGGGGTGCGAGCAGTTTCTCTGCTGTTCATAAGGAAGTCGACTCTGAAATTCTGCTGTGGGTGTCTTTCCCTTGGTGTATGTGGAATAAGCCTGTTTTGCTTTTTCTCCCTTTTTGTTTGAAAGTTGTTTTTTTTTCCCCCCCCCCAATTTTACATACCAACTGTAGTTCTCCATTTCTCTCCTACTGTTCCTCCCCTGCCCCCTAACCATTCTTCAGAGAGGATAAGTCCTCCTATGGGAGGGTAACAAAGTCTGGCACATCAACTTAAGGACCAACTCTCTCTCAGATGTATTAAGGCTGATCAAGGTATCCCTCCACAGGGGAATGGGTTCCAGAAGCCCAAACTACACAACTGTTACCCACATTCAGAGGGCCTAGTTTGGTCCTATGCAGGTTTCCCAAGCTGTCATTCGAGAGTCAGCGAGCTCCCACTAGCTGTAATGAGCTGTCTCTTCGGGTTTACAACATCATTATCTTGACCCCTTTGCTAGTATAATCCCTCCTATCTCTCTTTGGACTCTGGGAGAACAGTCCAGTACTTAGCTGTGGATCTCTGCATCTGCTTCCCTCAGCTACTGGATGAATGTTCAACGATGATGACATTGGGGTAGGCATCAATCTGATTACAGGGGGAAGGCCACTTCAGGCACCCTCTGCACATTTACTTCCCACTTTCTCTTCTATCCGGTTTTGTGTAACTGTATTTATGTTGAGGACGAGCCTGCATGGGGACGTTCTGATTTCCAGTGTCCAGGCTGATGGCAGATGGGGCATGTCCTTATTTGTGGCTGAGGGTCCAGGCAATAGCTTGTGAGACTGTCCAATGCAGGCTCCTGGCAGAGTTGACTTGCCTTGAGCTCCAGTGGGATGGATCCTCATGGTGGGCGACTTCCCTTGTACACCTTGTGACCTCAGGGCAGCTGCTAAGGCTTAGACTCAGAGCACGGCCTTGTCTTTCAGGAGGATTCGGCTGCCTCCTTTTGGGCATTGAAAACCAGTTCCCATATGGGAGTTTGGGGACCCCTCCTCAGCTTTTTAAAATTGCTTTCTAGTATCTGCTGCCGACTTAAGAAATGAGATGGGTGGCCAGGACTGTGACTCCCACTGGGGAGGCTAGGTCAAATATAGGACAATGTGTTGAGGGGGACAAGGAGATGGCGTTGAATGATAGGGAGGGGCCGTCAGGGGAAGGGAAAAAGAGGAAGGTGGGTAAGGAGGGGGAAGTTGTTTCTCTATCTTTGTCCTGAAGGGGAAGAAGTGGACGGAGGAGGAATGAAAGGAATGTGGGCCACTGAATGAAATGTGTGGCCCTGAAGGGTAGAAGAGGGTTGGGCAGGCAGGGTTGGGAGGTGAGGGAGGGACCAGTGTCTCAGGCAGCAAGGTCAGGGTGGAATTTTCAGGGTCCCAGTTCACAGATAGGCAGGAATGCGGAGGTGCTGTGACTCTAGCTAACATGACCAGTACTGTGAGACACTGGCTACAAAAGGAAGGGCGGGAGTATCCAGAAACCGTGGACACATGGGGTTCTGATCACTGGTCCCCATGCTGGCAAAAACTTTCAAGGGCCTGGGGGATGGAAAGTTCAAAAATCCCCCTGGTGGCCATTGTGTCCCATTGTCAAGGCCTTAGTTGCACAGAGAAATCAGGTGTTCAGGACATATGGTGTCAGACCACAATTTAAATAGATTTTGTAAAAGGCAGCCCAAGGGTGTTTGGGGATCTGGCTTTGAATGGCAGGTGCCCTTTTCACAAGTCTATGCCAGAACCCAAAGCCTAACACAATGTTGTCCACTGTGGTAGGCTTTGGGTCAAAAACAGACAGGGTGTAGGAGATCCCTTGAACAGAGAATCTTCTGAAGAAGAAGAAGGGTTCCCACTGGACAAGGCAGGCCCTTGTTCCAGTAACAGGTCGGGGCCTGGTATGGCTGTGTCTTGCCGGACACCTGAAAATTGTGGAGGCCCTGGGGTCTCTAAGGCAGTGACTTGAAAAGGACAACTTAACCCAGTCTAAAGCAGATCTAGCCCGGCAGAGAGCAGGTATGGGGGAGAAGGATGTTTTCCCACCACAGGGCCCTGGACCAATGGGGGCATAACAGCCCCCTCGGTGGGACCTCCAGACGAAAATTTTCTACATCCCTACAACCCGATTAGCCTCTCCGCCAATGCAGTAATCCGTATCTGACCAAATCAAACTGGATACATGTGTTTTCTGGGGAGGCAGTTTAAATATCCTGTAGGAGTGGGCTTGAGTACCTCTGGGGAGGCGGGGGGAAATCATCATTTGTCGGGCTTTCTGAGATGCAGCAGGGTTTGGAGGAAGATAGGTAAAGGAGGAAATTGGGTGGAACTTCCACCATAACACCTAGTAGGGCAGCATCTCAAGAAGGGATTTCAGGGGAAGCTGACAACCCACAGGGGAGAGAGCTGGCTGTCTGAAAAACACACATGGATTGTGTGCAAGAAACAGCAAGTGTGATTGGAGCTGCCTGAAGGCATACCTAGCTGGTCTAGGGCTGGTAAGCCCTGTGGTGATTGGAGCCCATGAGCTTTTGGAGTCTGTGTGGCAGCTGGAGACTATTGTAGGAAGCCATAACAGGAAAAAATACAAACTTGGTCCTGAGGCTTGGGGAAAAGGAAAAGAAAATCTAACCTGCTTGGCTGTGACTGCAGTGGGAGCCCTCTCATGTACCAGAGGCTGCAATGCCACAGGCAAGTGGCCTTTTCAAGATCCCTGCGGTAACGTTGGTTGCCAAATTGTTGCATGAGTTCTAATTGGTCTTAATAACGAGAACACTTCAGGACAAATGCTGAAAAGGTCAGAGAGGAAGGAACAAGCCACAGACAGCTCTTACCTTGCTAACTCGGCCCCACAAAAAGCTGACCTCCTGTCTCTCCCTGCCGTATAGTCCTCTCTCTGCCCAGCGGTAACACTTGCTCTCTGTCTGTACAGAGACATCTAGACCTCTATGGTGAACTAGTGGCTAACTCTGCCCTCTCATCTTCAGACAAGCTTTACTTGTTAGCGTACAGAGAAGATATCTGTGTCAGAAATCTAGATGCTTTCTGAAGTATCCTTTTCTCATATGCAGACTTCACTGATGCACCTGACCTACTCACCTTTGGAGCAGAACAAACAGGCCTGAGGAGACAGGAGACAGTGGCTAAGTAAGGATCCAGGCTTGGTGGAGGGATTGGTGAAGGTATGCAAAGGGGGTCATGTAAATGAAATCAGTTTTGACACATTCTGTTTCACTAGAAATAATTCTGGAGACACCCACTGAGAAATCGTCAGGATTTTCCTAATGTGGGCATGAGAAGACTTTCTTCAGAACAACTGATAATGGAGTCAATAAAATTTTATTTGACTATGCATGTGAGTGATGCTGTCCTCATTCATTAACATCACAGACCATGTTTTCATACCATTGTTGAATCATTTTCATTTTTTAGATTTTTATGTACTATAAAAATGGTAAAAATTAATACCTCTAGGTTTATTTATTGTTTTCAGAATTTTTTGAGCTTTGGTATTATAGCTTTCTCTACCTTTTAATGTTTTTGTTTCCAATCCTGAAAATGATGCCAACATAGTTTTGATAAGAATCAGGAAGTATATTTACAGCATGTTAAATTCTATCCATCCTCCCTCTTATTGTCTCCTATTGTCTGTTGGAAATTAAGATAAATAGAGTGCAGTAAGGACTTCTGCTGATTTAGTAAAGTACTGGTTGTAGACTCTCTAAGATCCATGCCTTTGCTAGCCTTGGGGAAAGAGGGAGAGGCTTCCAGTACCAGGCATGTTCTCACTCTTGTTGAGAGTGTCTTAATCCAATTACTAGCTGTTGGTTACCACCAAGGTATATGTGCCACCCTTGTATGCCCAGGGCTGCATGCAGTGTTGTGGTCCATAGTTGTCATAGCTGGGTAAGACTATTGTCTGGCTCTGCCTTTTGGAAGCTTGCATGTTGCCTTCTCGTACCATGGGAGCTAGTCCCCAGGGAGGAGGCTTTAAGGTCAGTTCTGTCTCCAGTTCTCTAGTATTTGTGTCTGAAGTTTGTGACTTCTTCAGCACTAGGGAATCATCTTCTGTCTCTGGGAGGCAACCATGGGCAACAACAATACCAAGTAATGTTTGGAAGTCTCTCGGACAACTGTGACCAACAACTTCTAAGTAAGCAGGCTTCTTACTGCTGGTGTTGGTCATTTTGTTAGAAAATCTATAGCTCTTGTGAGGATCTGTAGCACGACTTCTATTTGGTCTTCAATATAAAAATCCAGAATCAGATATTAGCAGTGTTATGGTGGAGGTTCCACCCAAGCCCCCCATCTCCCTGCAAACCTTGCTGCATCTCAAAAGGCTCTGCCAAATGATGGCCTCCTCCCCCAGACATACCCAAGACTATTCCCACAGGGCATTTAAACTGCTCTGCAGAGAACAGACTTGTGTTTTTTCCACTCTCCCTTTCCCCATATCCTCTTTGGGTGGGGGGAGCTGTAAGGCCATCCGGCAGTGTTGTATCCAGTAAACGTGGGCCTTTTCTAATTCGTTTTGATTTGGTCTGCTTTGGATTGCTGCATCAGTGGAGAGGCTTATTGGAGTCTAGAGACTTTTCACCTGGATGTCTCACACAGGGGTCTGCTTTCCCACCACTGGTCCAGGGACACATGGTGGGAAAACACCCTTCTCCGACACACCTGCTCTGCACTAGGCTAAAATGAGCTTTGGACTAAGTTGTCCTTTCTAAGTCATTGCCTTAGAGGCTCAGGGCCTTCGAGGAGTTTTCGGGGGGTACTGTGAAAGACAAGGGCCCAAAACTGTTAGCGGGACAATTACCTTAGCAAGCAGGTGAGTGTTGAAAGATCAGAGAAGCAGGGCAGCCAGCCACTAGAGTTCTTACCTCTACAAATGCTCAGACCAAAAGGGCCATCCTATCTTGAGGAATCCTCAGGCTGAATGCTCTCTCTACAAAACCTCCTACTGAATGCATTGAGCTCCTCTCTTCTCCAGCCTTGTATACATACCCCTCTCCTCACAGTTATATCAATCCTGGCTCTACCATTCTGGTGATGTGATTAAAGGGGTGAGCTGTGTTTTTCTTTTAGGCTGGTTAAAACTCGTGTAGCACAGGGTGGTCTTGAACTCACAGAGATCTGTACGCCTCTGTCTCACCACTGCTGGGATTAAAGGTGTGTGCCACGACTGCCTGGCCTCTGTGACTAACTAGTATGGCTAGCACTGCACTCTGATCTTCAGGCAAGCTTTACTTGTTACAGCACAAACAAAATATCACCCCCAAGGAGCACCATCCAGTTGGGAAATTTTCATTTATACACTAAATGTATGTGCTTCCACAGGCTTTTATGTACTTACTATACACAAATTTGGCGGCTGGATAATAGTCAAGGAATAGGTGGATTCCTTATAAATTTTCTACACACCCCTACTGTTATCTACCCCCTCACACACTTCTTCTCTTGTTAATATCTGCCCCTTATCCATAACTAAATCCTCACACCTGTTTTTCCATTTCCCTTCAGATCAATTGTTTCTGTTACTCCCTTCTCTACTACTCCCACACACCTCCAGGGCTGTCTTGTTACTTTTCTGGTTACTCCAGTTACCCCAGGTTGTGTATTCACATCTGAGCATTTGGAGCTAGGAATTTCCCTATGAGAGAAATCGTGCAATGTCTGTTTTTCTGGTATGTATGTACTACCACATTTTCACCTGTCCATTTGTCATTTGGAGGACATTATGTTGTTTCCATTTTGTAGCTATTGTGTGTAGAGCAGAAATGAATAAGGGTGAGCAAGTATCTTTGGAGTAGGATGTTGAGTCCTTTGAGCCTATGGCAAGGAATGGAGCAGCTGGGGCATGAATTTATTAACTTGAAGGTTTGCTTATTTGAGGATCCTCTTTTGTGATTTTCAGTGTGGCTAGTTTTGTTTTGTTTTCATGGCATTTTCCCAATGGTTTTGTTTCATGTTGTCACTGGTTGGATTGTTCATAATATTCCTCCTTTTTGGAAAATAGTGAGTGATTTGCTGTATGGCTCGTAGATAATTACTTCCCAGTTTCTCTGTATTTATTCTTCCCATGGCATTTATTATTTCCCCGTGTTCTCTTGAATGATTCCTCTGATACTCCTGTGTATTTTTTTTTTACCTCTAATGTATTTAATGAAGTAAACCTGTTTTAATTGGTGACTATCTTGAATGCCTTTTCTCTCCATCAATGTTACAGAGATTAGTTTTCTTTGTGCAACAAGATGCTTGATGGTGATTTTCTCTTCAAGCTTCAGATGTCTTCCATGCTCTTCTGGGATCATTGACTAGAGACCTGATAGAATACTGTTGCTTGGGTATTTTCATGTGGTTTGACATTTTTCTCTAACAGCTTTCAGTATTAATTTTAACTCTTCCTTTTTGACCACTTTATTTGAAAGGGAAGCAAGCCATGTATTCGTTGTTCCTGAAAGAGGAACTCAAAGAAGAGAAATTGTAAGAAATGGCTGATTCTCCAGTAAAGATGTCCCAGGTCAGTGGTCCTTTTTACTCTTTATCTAAAAATGTTATACTTTGATATATTGAAACTCTTAGTTTTCTGCTTCTGATTTTTAAATTTTTCATTATTAACAATTTGGCAAGCAAACAAGAAAATCCCACACTGAATTAAGCAGACTCAAACACTACAACTCAGTGTACTTTTATGCAGTTAGAGCTGTCACAGGGAATAGAAACTCTGGAGCCTCACATGGGGTTTTATATTTCACAATCTACTATGTTTTGATTTACTTACCCACCACCCAAACCCCAAAAGCTTTGACAAAATTAGAACTAGAAAAGGATTTAGTTTTATGTCCTTTTTCATAACTGGTATTCATTACCTGCATTCAGTCCCTGATAATTTAACCTTTTTCTGTTTTCTTCTCCATGTTATACTGTGCCCACATATACGTTGTTTCTATATACATATATTATGGATAGATTCTGCATATGAGCAAAAATTGTGGTATCTTCTTTCTGGGAAAGTGTATGGCCGCACTTAATGTTACACATTTTGTGTCCATCCATTTCCCCTTCAAATTTTTATATTTTATTTTTTTTCTCTCCAGCTGAATTATATTCCATTTTATACAATTTTCATTATCCAGTCATCTGTTGATAATTAGTTTTGATTCCAATATATTTCCTCTCGTGATAAAACAACATGTTTACTGTTTTATCTCTGTAGTTGGGTGTTTTTTCTCTGGGTGTATGGCCAGGAAGAACTGGGATACATGTTAGTTCTCTGTAAAATTTTTTTCAATAATTTCCAAATTGATGTTCAGAATGGCTGTATTAATTTTTCTCCTCCCCTCCATCAACAGTGAGTAGGGATTCCTTTCTGTCCATATCCACTCAAACATTTCTTGTCAGGTTAATAGATGACAGCCATTCTGCCTGGAATGAGGCCATATGTTTGTAAGTAGGTTTTTTGTTTGTTTGTTTTTGTTTTCTTGTTTTTGGTTTTTTTTTGAGACAGGGTTTCTGTGGTTTTGGAAGCTGTCCTGGTCCTGGAACTAGCTCTTGTAGACCAAGCTGGTCTCAAATTCACAGAGATACGCCTGCCTCTGCCTCCCGAGTGCTGGGGCTAATGGCATGCTCTACTACTGCCCAGCTCCAAGTAGTTTTAATTTGCATTTCCATGGTGGTCTTTTTTGGAATCCTGAATGCTTTTGCAATGTTTATTGGCCATTTGAGTGGTCTTTGTCTTTGGGAATAGTGTCTGTTTAGTTCATTTGCCCGTTTGTTGATTTATAATTTTATTTCCTCGATATTTAATTAATCAGACTTTTGGTAAATTCTTGCTATGAGCCTTCAAAATGTCACTGGTAAAGGTTTTCTTAGTAGTTTTACCTTAAACATTTTTGGATGTGTTTTAGATTTCCCTCAGTTTTTATGCTCTTTGGGAGTGAAGTGAAATATTGTTTGAAACTTCTGAAATTGTTATTTGTCTGCTGGCTTATGCATATTCTTAGGGAAATTTTGGATTATATCAAATATTGCAGATACAGAAATTTCTATCTCATCTTAGTGGCCCAAATATTCTCATAAAATTAAAAGTGAAAGCATGTAGTGATGTTAAAATCCTTGCTACTATGGAAAAAAACCAAAACTCTTTGTCTATAAAATCCATCATATAGTCTGCCTTCTAACCTACCCATTTGCTATTTAATGGTGTGGCATTGTACCTAGGGTTTAAACATCCCAACTGAGCCTGTTAGAGTAGAGACACATAAGGCCCTAGTACACGCTGGATTGATAGGTGTGAGGGTTTTAGCATGATCTACAGGTACAGCATTTAAATGACATTTTCTCATAATGAAT